ACACGGCCCAGGATCGAGATCAGACCCGGACCCAGATCCAGGCCCAGGTCGAAGATAAGGCCCAGATCCGGGATCAGGATCAGGATCAGGCCCAGGCTCCTACCTGTGTAGAAGATGTGGTCAAAGCGATTCTGCAGGAGGGCCTTGGTCTCCTCTGCTCCTCCTCGGACCACTGCGTAGCAGTCCTGTGGAGGCAGGACTCTGGTTGAGCGAGGCCAGCTCTGATGTCTCTGACCAAACACCCAGACTCCAACTTTTGGGTTCTTTAAATGAGCAGCAGCTCTGGAAAGACCCTTCTAATGCACTAAACAGCCTGTTGCTGAGCTCCAGCCTCTCTCCTGGGGGAGAGGCTCCTGCTCTTAGTCCCTGCCACCAGGCACAGCTTACCTGAGACAGATACTTGGGGATGAGATCGGCCACTAGACTGTCTGTGGCAGAGCTGATCTCTGAGGGCTTGAGGACCACACAGTTTCCTGCAAATCAAGCAGAGACCCTCAGGACTGACGGAAGGCTCACTCATATCTCCCCTAATCAGGACCAGCAGATGCAGCCTACCTGCAGCGATGGCTCCAACCATGGGGGCAATGAGAAGCTGCAGAGGGTAATTCCACGGCCCAATGATCAGAACCACCCCTAAAGGTTCCCTCTGGACAAAACAGTCATCCAGCTTTGTTGCCTGAAATGAAGAAATACACACAACTCAGATGTGTAACAAGAAGCTTTACAACCAGTCCTCTGAGCCCCTCTGTCTCATCACAGTCTCTCTAAATCACGAGTGGAGCATAAGGGAGGCCGGCTCCTTCTGGCTACTCACCAGGTTTTTGGGCACGTACTCGGGCTGCATCCAGCCCGACATGTTGGAGATGGCGTGGTGCAGCTCGTTCATCACTATGTCCACCTCAGAGAGGATGGCCTCAAACTTGGGCTGGTGTGGACAGACACACACGTTAAGAAGTGAGGAAACTCTGAACCGGCTGTTGGGGGGGGCGCAGAGCCTACCTTTCCCAGGTCTCTGTGCAGCGCCGCCACAATCTGCTCCTCGTTGTCTCGGATCATAGACCCCAGCTGGGTCAGCTGTGCCCGCCGAAACTCCTCCGGCGCAGTGACGCCGGCCTGGAACGCTGCCCGCAGCCTGCTGACCACCTGCTTCTGCACGTCCATCTTCCACCTGCAACACAGAGCCCGGTTCAGCCCGGGTCGGCCCGCTCAGCCCGGGTCGGACCGGTCAACCCGGGTCGGACCGGTCAGCCCGGGTCGGACCGGTCAGCCCGGGTCGGACCGGTCAGCCGGCGCTTTGCAGCCAGCGGAGGAGCTCCTCTGGACGGTGATCTGGTGAGGCGCAGGGGGGATCGTCTGCGGTAGAGCCAGCCACGCCTGTCTCGGGGACTCGGCTCCCCGGTGGGAAACTATCGTGTCCAGAGAGTTCTGCCACTATCACGCTGGAGCTGAACCAACAGGTTCCCCACGGCTCCACATCCCGGAGAAACCACCGGAGGGGACGCCGCTGATAGCCGCTAGCGAGCTAACGCCGAGTCCGCCGCGGGGCCGGAGCTCCCGGAGCCCCCACAGCTCCCGGAGCCCCCACAGCTCCCGGAGCCCCCACAGCTCCCGGAGCCCCCACAGCCCAGCCCGCCCAGCGAAGCCCCGCCGCGGCCCCCCGGCCCCGGCCCCGGCCGCTCCGGGCCCCCGGCGGAGGCAGCGCTCAGCCCGGTCAGATGCTCCGTACCTGTTCGAGCTGCTTTCTCCAAATGCCAGGTCCGACTGGTCCCGTTTCCGGGTGCTGCTCCAGTTTCCTCCTCACGGGCTGCTCGGAACTGGGAGGAACGCTTTTAGTCGAGCTTGAAAAACAAGTTTGCAGAACTTGTCCGGTGAGTCCTGAGCCGACATGCTCCGGCGGCTGTCTGCGCGGCGGTGATTGGCTGTCGCAGGCCCGCCGTGGGCCGCCGGCCGGCCCCGGGCCCACCCCGTGCACAGAGCGGGGCTTTGGCCCGCTTCAGCCCGCTTTAACGGGAGCCCCGTGCCAGGGAGAGGAGGGAAGACATCACAACGCATCATCACCGTTTTCTCCATTCACGTCTGGCCCTTTGAACCATGTCACGCCATTAAAATGACCACTACACCAACAAGTCGACATTGATAAAAAAACTTTATTGTCACAATATCAAAATGGACAGGTCTACAGAGAATTAGAATTAAAAGGAATTAAGAGAAGCAAAAGATGAGTGTGGAGCCCCGGGCTGCTTCCACTGGGATGGGGGCGAGCAGCAGACCCCGGCGGCCCAACCAAAGCATATGCACTTTTTATCCTGACAGCCAGAGTACAGACAGAGGCAACACCTGCCACAAAGGAATCCTTTAAAATGGCCCAATTGAAAAACCTCTTACAGCTGAAGAGCTTAATCCTTCAAAATAGCTGTATAACTAAATGATTATATTAATATAAAAATCCTACAAAGGTGGTGAAATTCAAATTGGAAGGGAGAGTGTTGTATCTACAGAGCACGAGGAGGAGGGATAGAAAAGGTGGCAGAGTGAGGGTCTAAATAAGGTAGCCATCACAGCTGCTGCCTGCCCCCCCCACATGTTGACTGCTGTCAGCATCAGGCGCTGGGCTCTCCAGGCTGACGCTGTGGGCCCGGTGGGGGGGGCAGGCTTTCTGCCTACTGCTCACAGCCAGCCTGGCAGAGCCGTCCAGCTGCAGGATCAAATGGTACACAGTTTTTGACGGGTCGCGCGCCCCCCCCCCCCCGCCCGCCCGCCTGCACAAAGACTTTTACAGGAAGTAGTCAGCCACTGGCTTCTTGGAGGGGATCCCTCTGGTCTCTTGTGGAGCTGCCTCAAATATGATGAACTCCCGCTGTAGATGCTCATCCAGCTCCAAGATGGCCGCCACGTTGCCACATCTGATGTTGGGGAGACAGAGGGTTGGAACCCCGGGGCTCAGGGGGAGCAGAGGGCCCTAACCCTAAGCCTCCACATACCTGTAGCAGTAGTTGGGCGCCGACCACACGGTCAGCACGGTCTCGTTGAAGTGCCACTTGTAGCCCTCCATCACCAGCTGGTGCGCTCGGCAGATCATGTGGATGTCGTTGGCCGCGTTGAACTGAGCCACCACGTCACTTCCAAACAGGTAGCCAGCCCCTCTGGGGCTCACCCCCCAGCCAGTGGTGTCTGGGGCAGGAGAGGGAAGAGCATGAGGACAGCGCTCGCCAGGACAGACTGACCGACCGAGGACAGACTGATGGACTGAGGACAGCCTGATGGACCGAGGACAGACTGATGGACCGAGGACAGACTGATGGACTGGGGACAGACTGATGGACTGAGGACAGACTGATGGACTGGGGACAGACTGATGGACTGGGGACAGACTGACTGACCGAGGACAGACTGATGGACCGAGGACAGACTGACGGCAGGTGCAGACCTGTCCCTCTCTGCCCCCCCCAGTGCTCTTTTTGGCCCGCTTGCTTTCTTTGTCCTGTCATATCTCAGAGCCTCTTCCTGCATTTCCATTCCTAAAGCCTGACATCAACCCTGGATTTGTTCGGCTGGTCTCTCAACGGAACTGACTTTCTACCCAGAGACCGTGAGCAGGGCAGTGTCTGGTCCAGCCGGGACTCACCCTGCAGGGGACTCAGTGGATGCCTGGAGGAAGTGGAGGGGTCTATGCCTCTCAGCTCTTACCGTGGAGGACCTATACCTATTGGGATTCATTAGAACCGGTTTCCTGCTGATTAAGGAGCAGATTATTGAAAAAAATTAGGAAGCTGAAGGGAATTGGGAGTCATCAAGACTCGGACTGAAACTTTGTAGCAGACAAAAAGTGAATGCTGTGTGGGGAGATGGGGAACACCCTGGAGAAGTTGGTGGTCTGGATGGAGGGAAACTAACACCATTGGGCTGAACTGGAATCCTCATGGAGAGACCTGCTGAGGACTTAAGGCAGACTAAACACGCTCTGTCTGGGACAAAGCTATCTCTCTTATCTCAGTCTGGCCTCCCCACAGCGGCCTTGCAGCTGCTGCTCAGTAACTTTGCCCTGGATGAAACTGCAGACGGACGCTTTGCCCCCCCCTTCCAAACCAGGAGTATGGGCATCACAAGGACAAATTCCATCCAGCCTGTGGATATGGACTGCAGCCTGCTTACACTTACACAAATCCAGACCACCCCCCCCCCCTGGACCCCCTCTCTTGCTGTTTCCTTCCAACCCCCCATTCCCTCCTCCCCAGGCATGTCCTTGATCTGACTGCATCTGTGCTTACTTGTGCAGGTGTGTTTTTTTCAGATTATTGTTGCATTCCCTGTAGGGGGCATGACAGTGCCCCCCCCCCCCCCCCCCTTACCCCAACTCCTCCCCCAAAGTTGTCTTTTCTTTTTTATGTAGGAAAGGGGCAGCTCCATTGGGCTGCCCCTGCAGTCAAATTCTGTGGAGTCAAATTGCTTGTATGGTCACATACTTGGCCGGCTTACAGGCGAATAAAGCTGATTCTGAGAATAGATAGACTCAGAGTGTCTCTGCTCCTAAAGTCTCTTCTTTCCTGTTAGCGTGTAGCATCAGTGGATGCTAGCTGTGAAATCTGTGTTCTAGCTGGATGTTAAAGCCTTAATGGTAAACCCTCTGCTAGCACGTTGCACATACCTTCAGGGTCTGACCACAGGAGGTCGCACATGGGCCCATCATGGGGCACCTCCTGTTTTCTGTCAATGGTCCGGATCTGGTCCAGAGTCTGGATGGAAGGAGACAACCCGCCGTGCACGCAGAAGATCTGAAAGGTTCAAGGAGAAGCCACCGTTCAGCTGACAGCGTTTAGAGCGGGGCTGTCCGGTCCCCTTTGGGCCGCTGTCCTGCAGGTGTCAGAGGTCTTCCTGCTTCAACACACCTGGTTCTGATTAAACTGGATCTTGAGCTTTGCTTATGGCTCTCTGATGTGAATCAGGTGTGTGAAACAGGGAAAAACTCTAAAACCTGCAGGACAGCGGCTAAAAAAGGAGCAGAGTCTGACAGCTGGGCTGTAGAGCGCCCCTGTGAGGTTCATCCAGGACTGAAGGGCCTCTGGGAAAGGAGCTGTCACTAACTGATGGGGATGCTGGCCTGGCCTCACCTTGCCATCGATGATAGCAGACAGAGACAGGTAGTCGAATATCTCTGTGCAGTATCTCCACACTGTGACGGAGCCATACTTCCTGAGGCACTCGTCGTAGAAACCATAGACCTGGGTGATTTGCCGGGACTCGTGGTTCCCCCGAATCAGAGTGATCCTGTCTGGATAACGGACCTGAGGGGAGCAGTGACACATGTCAGCTCAAGACTGTCAGCAGCCACAGGGAGCCGCTTCTGAGCAGCTGGCACACATGCTCTCATCGTTACCTTTAGAGCTAGCAGCAGGAGGAAGGTCTCCACACTATAAAAGCCTCTGTCCACAAAGTCACCCATGAAGAGGTAATTTGTCTCTGGGACGTCTCCCCCCACCTGTGGGGTGGAAAGTGGAAATCAGGCTTCAGTGGCAGCAGCTCTTCTTCTCCAGATTCCAGTCTCTGTGCTTGGCCGTCAGCCATCAGGAAATCCTCATCCCCATCGGGTTCAGATGTCACGCTACAAGCTTCTGCTACCAGGAAGCTCAGGAAAGCTGGGACCAGCTCCTCATGAGACACAGCAGGGGAGCATTCCAGGTTCGGGACAGGCTGCACTCATGCTTTAGTGTCCAGCTCGGTCCAAAGGGGCCACTTTCACCTACTCTCTGCCGGCGGAGGCCTTTAAACACTAGCCTCATACAAACGCAGCCTCTTGGCTCCATCAGGCCCAGGGCAGTGAGTCCTGTGGCTTTCTCTGCAGGCCCCATCAGAGTGGGTCACACGGGGGTGGGCCGGCCTGTCAGGCTGCTCTGGGCAGTTCATCTGTTATTGATTATGCATGTGTGGAAATGTCCACAGCAGCAAACAGATTGGCCTTTTTTTTAAATCGGAAACACATTAAAAACAATGTTGGGGGACCAAAACAGAGCCTAAAAACATCAATTTTTAAAAAGCCAACCTAATAAAAACTTTGTTTGGATCAGACTAGACAGGGCTTTCTTGATCACTTTGAGAGGAGGGGAAGAGGTCTGCAGCTCTGTGTGGTTGTGCCTGTTGACAGTTCTGTCTGTAACCAGACTCAG